ACACATTATCAGAATGTCTACTTGATGAACCTGGATAAAACTCAGCATTTCTGCCAATAAACGGATTCTATAAACGGGAAAAAAAACACTTTAGAACGTGGCCTCTGGGTTCTGCTGTTGTCATCTAAAAAGAGAAATATATTATAATAGTTAGGCGAATAAAGGTACTCTACAGCAGGTTTTTGTTTAAGAGCAAGAGTTTTAAATGTCTACTTTTTCGTAAATTTTCTTGAAAGGAAATCGCAATGATTTCTATACCATGATTTTTCCTATAAAACCCTAAAAGGCAAACGAGTGTAGTATGTTTTGATTACGGGTTTTTTGTAGGTGGAAAAAGGTGGCAGAATTTTTCTAAGCAGGCAGATTGTAGTCTAGCAACAAATATGCTTTATTGCCAATTGTGGTAATACAAGTGAGGACTGAAGTAGGTGGCAATGCCAGTAGTGACCTTAATATGGCAGAAATCAGAGATTTAAGGTAATGAAACAGACTCAATTATTCTACACATGATGGCTACTTTCAGTATTGACACAGTTTTTTTTCTCCTGTCCATTCTTTTGAATCTTGCTCCTAATAACAACCACAAGAATGAGAGTAGATTGGTCCTCATTATGGAAATGGTAGTGTGGTAACAAGCTGAACTTGCTCCATTCTTTCCTTTGGATTACCAAACAACAGGTCATAACGACTTTAGATGCTATAAGCCTTGACTATATTTGAAAAAAACAGTGGTAATCTTTCACATTAAGAATCTTACTGTCCTATGTCCCATTATTTCAATCTGCTTCAGCATAAGAAAAGTGAATGCTTCATTTTGCTGTGTTATATTAACAATTTCCCTCAGTAAGGAAGCCAGCTCTTTAGATTAATTATGGCATTTAATAATGGTAAATCAATCCACATATCTACTTTATAAATCATGCTTGTTCAGCAGTGTTTCTTATTTCTCCACTAAGATTTTAAAAAAGCCCCCAGTCCAATAGCATTACAACCATTGTTTCCTCTGGAAGACCCACAAATATGGGTGGCTTCATACCACACAAACTGCTTGACTGAAGGGAGGTATTACCCACCTATTTATCACCACCCAATGCTGCCATGTAAGGCTGAAAGAATTTCAAAAAAAGTTCCAGAACTGACAGGAATCTCTATAAACTTCGCTCTCTAGGAGACATAACAATAACATTCAGCCCAAATTAAGAAGTTTTTTGGTCTTAGATTGGTTCAAACTATTCTGCATGCAATTATACTGGGCCTTCTGTTTTTCAGTAATCGAAGCATTATGAAAGGTCTTTTTCATAGTTCATAAAGCTCTAGAGAGGAACATAGCTTGAAGCTGAGTACAGCTACCAAACATAAACAATCAGTCTTTTGCTAATTGTAACATTCAAGCTTAAGTTAAAAATACAAGCCTCCCATACAGCTGCTTCTTCCTAATGCCTTTTAAAAGCTGTAATCAGTTTGCAATGTGTTTCCTCCTCTTACTTTTTCTTTACTTGCTGAATTTACACTTATTAAATTGTCAAACTCGGGCTTCAAGGAATGAGTCTGAGAGTGAGAGAGACAAATTTTTCTGGTTTTGTTTGTTTCTTCACCTTTTAGTTTTTCAATATGGTGGCTGTCAAGAATCAGTTCCGCTTTGGAAAAATATCACTAATTTACAGAGATGGTCAGTTCAAATTGGGGCGTTCAGTGACCTGCAATGTTACCAAGAAAATGTTGTAGTTAGTAAGAAAATTTAAGTCTATTTACTTGGGGTGCACCACAGTAGGAAATACTCCCAAAATATAAGGAGCATTATCCAGGTAGATTTTCAAAGTGAACTATGTGGGCCTTGAGACAGGTCAGCTGAAGAAAAGTCAAAGTAGATTCACCAATAGCAGCTTATTTCAAGGGCTACAGTGTGGCAACTCTGCAGGGAAGATGATTACCAAAACAAAACCACATCAGACCCCCAAGGAAACCAAAAATACAGATATTTAGAAAATTATAGGCTTAAAAAAACCCAGTCAAGCAAAAGAAACCAACCAGAGATAGAGGTCTGTGTTACGAAAATCTAAATTGTGCAAAAGAGATGTTGGAACTGATTTTTGGACAAGCTAAACATTATTGTACATGAAAATCCTTAATATTTGGACTCTTTTTGGAACTATTTTAGTATAGCACAGACACTTTGCTCTCATGCTGCTGATACATGAATTAAGGATAGAGTAACTCTATGTCATCTTTCATTGATACCTATCACCTGTCACTAAAACAGCATTGAAAAGTGCTGAGATACAAAATTAATGCAATCGTTTTCATGGAAAATCAAAATAGAATTGTTTTTTTTTTCTCACCTACCAAATTCTGACACAAGAAAAAGTCAGAGAAGTCTGATAATTGCCACTATAAAACATTAAACTCAGAAATAATAATAATAATAAATGCATCTACTTTCACTTCAAAATGGAGAAAATGGGCTATTTAGATGAGTCTGCATCTTGAGGGGACATTTTCCTTTATATATGAAGAAAAGTGTAAAGTTAGGTGTATTATATACTAATTCTCACAACCCAAAAGACACAGCTGTGCTTTAAAGACACAGTAGTGAAATTGTAATTACCTAATTTAGCTTGGTAAGAGCTACTTTTTCTTGGCTTTTTGCCCAGAAAACATTTATTCCTTCTGCAAAAACAGTGTAGCAAACTCTAAAATAAAAAAGGAACACATTACAGAGTTGAAAACCAAAATACATTGATTATAAATGTAACATACTTTAGGATTACTGCCTTCAGTAAGAGAAATTTGCATTAATCTGTACAAAGTGAATAATATCTTGATAGTCAAAAAAAGTGAAATCCTCAGTTTAGTGACAAAATGAGAGCAGGTCCTCTGGCCTCAGAGTGTGTTTGAAAACCACCCCAGAAAGAATCTTCTGAAGTTCTGAGAATCTGAATGATCACTTTCAGTATTACAGAAACCAACCAGATAACTACTGACTAAAACTTTAAAGAACTTCTTGAATTATTAATAGTAATATTATCAATATAAAATAATGAAAAGTTTTTCTTAGTGAGATTTTTTCCCCTTTTACAACCAAGAAGAAATTCTACCATCTGGCTGACCTATATAATGGTCTTTAGCTGGGATAATACTTCAGTAGATTAACTAATGCAGAAGACAAGTCTTTAATTGTTTTTGGTTGCTGAGGATGAATATTTCAGAAACTTCCATCAAACTGTCAAATTTTGTAATGTCTAGGCATAAGTTTTGGTTCTTTTATTTATTTATTTATTTATTTATTTATTTATTTTGCATAGCATAGCTTGGAAAAAGATATAAAGATGTATGTTATTTATGAAAAAAATCACGTTCTGTAGCAATTTTGGGAACTCTGCAGTCAGGTGTAATGGGACATAGAGCCATAAAAATATCTTTTTATTTTTTACTAATATTTTGGTGAGGCACTGGCACAGGTTGCCCAGAGAAGCTGTGGATTTCCCATCCCTGGAAGTGTTTGAGACTAGACTGGATGGGACCCTGAGCAACTTGGTCTAGTGAAAGGTGTCCCTGTCTATGGTAGGGGGTTGGAACTGGATGATCTTTGAAGTCCCTTCCAACCCAAACCATTCTGTGATTCTGTCATTCTGTGATCTTAAGTTTCTTCACGAAGTATGGAATATGAAAATTGCTGCAGGATACTGTTCCAGCACCATAATTCTAAACTTTTTTCATTCTATGCCTTTTAATGTACTGCTCATTAAGTAAGTATTCTGCTGTTAGGCATGACAGTGTTCTGTTCACAAGACAGATTCAGTAGTAAAATGAACCAGTTGTTTCCCTGGCTCATCCCAGTGTGGTGTGTCATTCATGACTTGGCTGCTTCCCCTTATTTTGGCCACCTTATGCCATGACCTCTCAGCACTTTGCAGCAACTGCTCAGAGGACACAAAGGCTTATCTCCAACTGCCCAGCCCCGGGGCTGGTGTGATCTTCACGGCCCAGCCTGCTCCTGATTTGTTTCAATATTTCTCAGTACAAGAAAGACATGGAGCTACTGGAGAGGGTCAACAAAGGGTCACAAAGATGATAAGGGGTCTGGAGCACTACTCTGATGAGGAGAGACTGTGAGAGCTGGGCCTGCTTAGTCTAAAGACTGAGAGAGGATCTCACTAATGCATATAAATATCTCAAAGGCAGGTGCCAAGAGGATGGTGCCAGACTCCCTTCAGTTGTGCCCAGCGGCAGGACAAGGAGCAATAGCCATAAGCTAAAGCACAAGACATTTAATCTCAACACGAGGAAGAACTTCCTTACATTGAGGGTGGCACAGCACTGGCCAGCTTCCCAGGGAAGGCACGGATTCTGCCTCTCTGGAGACATTCAAAACCCACCTGGACGCGTTCCTGTGTCACCTGCTCCAGGTGACCCTGCCTTGGCAGAGGGGTTTGGACTAAACAATATCCAGAGGTCCCTTCCAACCCTACGGATTCTGTGATTGTTTTCTAGGATGACACGGAAGGCAGGCAGCCGGTGCTGCCCGCACTGGCCGCTGCGTGCCAGGCACCGAGCCTAAGGCCAGGCTGGGTGAGCAACCACTGCCCGAGAACCAAAGGGGCAAAGGCTCCATCCAGGGCCGGGGCTGCTCCGACACTGGCGCCAGGCGGTGATTCCAGCGGCGTCGGGTTTCCGTGGCTGCCGCGGGAAGGGACAATGAGGAGCGGGGGCGGCCCCGACCCGGCCGGGGACGAGCAGCCGCTCCCCGCGACCCTGCGCGGGGGTACGGAGGTTGTTGCCGATTTTAGGAGCTCTCAAAACACGGAAACAGAGTCTAGTTTGGAAAAGAGACATTATTTGTTCTGCCCAGCGTGTAAGGTGAAAGTTTCCCCAGCTCAGGCACGCCAAGGGGTAAAAAGTCGCACCACTTATACAGTGAAATTCACATAATCCCGCCTATCTAATACATATTCCCCGCCTACCTAATGCATATTTATTTGGGTGATGTAATCTTACGCAATGCCCGAAACACAAGGTTCTTTCCTTCCTTAAGCAACTCCTATTGTAGAAGTTATCTGACGACATCGGTTACGTTTACAGAAGGTGAGAAAATCCCTCCTGGGGACAGCCAATTCAGCTCGAAGGCACCAAGGTGACCCCGGCTCGGGAGGCGGGCGGGGAGCGGCGCGAATGCACATCCGGGTGAGGAGCGCCGGGACCGCCGGGAGGGGCAGCGGGAATCGCCCCCCGCCGCCTCCGCGGGGGCCGCCCGCCAGCCCGGACCGGGGCAGGCGCTGCTCCCGGCGGGATCCCCGCCCTGCCCGCCCCGGCGATGCGGGAACGGAGCTGGGGGCGTGCAGCGGGCGGTACAGCCCGGCCGGAGAGGGGGTGCGGGTGGTCCCGGCCAGGTCCGACTTCACTTGCCTTCACTTGCCTTCACTTGCCTTCCCCTGCCTTCCCCTGCCATCACCTACCTCACCCTCCTTCACCTGCCTTCACTTGCCTCCACCTGCCTCCCCCTACCGTCTGCCTTCACCTGCTTTCCCCTGCCTTTACCTTCCTCCATCCTCCTCCACCTGCCTTCTCCTGCCTTCACTTGCCTGAGTCCTCCTCCAAGCCCCTCCCTGTGCCACAGCACAGATACCCATGTGCGGTGGTGGCTGTTCTTAGTGATGTGGCGTAAGGGTCACTGCAAAAGGGGATTTTAGAAGTAGTTTAGAGGAGTAGCAGGGGCCTGCCTGCTTTCCCTGCACCAGAAAACTGGTATCCCTGTCAACAGGAAGGTGAACCCTGTGATTAGTTCTCTAGCCCAGAGGTTGGGAAGTCCTGGCTGTGAGTTCTCTGTTTCTTCGCTTTCCGAGACTGAAGTGTACATGGCCAAGTTTTCAAACATTGCCCAGAATCATTAATTGTGGTGAACTATCTAGTCTGATTTTTCAGAGACGCCTAATATCTGTTACTATAAATGAAGTTAGGTGTTGAAGTATTCCTGAAGATCTCTCTGAATCTTCAGGCACCTAAAACACTTTCTACAAATCTGGTCTTTAAACAGATTAATTTTTGAGGCTTCTGATATGTATGGTAGGGTGGACTGTGTCTTCCTGATACCTCAGCACCTGAGGAGAGGCTTCAGTGGGATACTCTTGAACTCTTACTGCAGCTTTGGTTCTTCTCAGGATGCTACAGTTTATAAGCAATTTTCCTTTCCTGTCTTAGCAATTCCTTTTTGCCTATGAACTGCACATTGTGAGTGCATCTTTTGGCACCTCACTGCAGTATTTTAATGGAGCTTTGGGTAGTTTTTGTCACAGTGCTTGAACACCTCTCTCAATAGACTTGCTTAATTATTTTTGCTCTCGTTGCTTTCTGGTCATTTTGCTTTTTGGCTGTTTTTCTTTCTGCTCTTCCATGTACATTTTTTAAACCTGTGACTTTGTTCTGAGTACCTCCACATCCATGGATTGAATGTCTAAAGTAAATGTTGGTGCTGTTGTTGTAAATACTTCACTGTCGGTTCCTCAGTCCCTAATGGTCTGCTGACCATTCTCACACAGTTTGCAGGACAGGCAATGTCTGTTAAGTGCAGTGGTGATCTTCCTGCTGGTAGGACTTGAAATAACAAAATCACAGTACTGTTCAAATAGGTGATGCCTGAATGCTCAATGGATAGTAGATAATCCCAGAGCCTTTTTCAGAACCTCTTAAGGAGATTCTTGAGAGTCTGGTGCTATTTTGAAAGGGAGAAAATTAAATACAGGAGACTAGGAGATTAATCTATGTGCTCTGTGCCTCAACACGTCCTTGTGAAGAACTGCACCAATAATGCCTTCTGCTGTTAGCCTGGGACATTACCTTAAAGCTGAGAGGGTGTCTTACTGTAGCTGAGTTTAGGAGGTGGATGGATTGTGTACACACCACGTCGAGACGAGCATCAAAATAGGATCTGTCACCTTTGGATATGTTTTTATCCAAATCGTTAACTGATCATTGCTATAGTTAAGTTTAAGGCTTCTTTCAAGTTTCATTCTACCTAGAATTATTGAAAACTGAGCATACCTGGGGACACATTTGCTTCTGTTGTGGTCATACATAAACTTCCTCAAGGCCCTTGAGAGGAAGCCGTGTGAGGAGCAGCTGAGGGCACTTGGTCTGTTCAGCTGGAGAAGAGGAGACTGAGGGTAGAGCTCACTGCAGTTACAACTTCCTTCTGAGGGGAAGTGGAGGGGCAGGCACTGAGCTCTGGTCTGTGTGGACCAGTGACAGAACATGAGGGAATGGTCTGAAGTTGGGTCAGGGGAGGTTTAAGTTGGATATTAGAAAAAGGTTCTTCCCCCAGTGGGTGGCTGGGCACTGAACAGGCTCCCCAGGGCAGTGGGCACAGCACCAAGGCTGACAGAGCTAAAGGAGTGTTTGAACAATACTCTCAGGCACATGGTGGGATTGTCGGGGATGGTCCTGTGGAGAGTCAGGAGCTGGACTTGATGATCCTTGTGGGTCTTTTCCAACTCAGGATATTCTCTGATTTTGTGATTTGGAGACATTGATCAGTCCATGCCCCACTAGAACTCTCAGTGCAGTTCAAGTTCTTTATATTAATTACAGGCTCCTTCACTGTTTTCTGCATGTCTTTGACACCAGGGACTGTCAGGCCAACTTTATGTTTCTTTCCAAGTGACACAACTACTGCCAGAGTTTGGTGAAGAATCTTGCTGCCTAGACGCTGTTGGCTGTTTCTGTGGTGTCAGGCTGATGATAGCTACATTGATTTGGAAGTGCCAAAATAGAGTTATGCTGGAAAGCATACTTCTGGTCCAGAGGAATTGCAATCTTAAGGGCGATAACTGGCATTCTCCAAATGTTTACAGAACTGCTGAGACATCTAAGTATGGTGTCTATCTGAGCAGTTGGCTGGGTTCCTCCTGGCTTACTGAAACCCCAACTTCCAGGAAAGCTTGCAACACCAAATGGAAAAAAGTTTGTGGTATGATGGAAACAAGCTTTTCGTGAATCTTTAAATGTAAAGTTCACACCACCTTCTTGTTCATGTTCATTTGAGTCCATCCAGGTACACGAGGTTTGTGTCTGATATGCTTGGGTGTGTTTTGTAATCTGCTGTTGTCCAGTTGTGCAGTGTTTGATGCTTGAATGCCCTTTACAAGAAAGTTCTTTCTGCTTATGTAAAACTGATTTGATCATAATAATGAAGGGGAAAAAAAATCTTCTTAAACCAATCTTGATATGTTTTCAGCTATGTTTTTTCTTCTGTGTTGGGCTTTTCCCCCAGCACACTTGAGGTTTTGGGCTGCAGACTAAATTTTAAGTCATGCAGACTTAAAACATTAGACACTTAAGACATTTAAGTGCAGTGTAAGTGGCAGATTATCTAAGTGTTGCAGGGTAACTTTCAGATGTATTTTATCACATTACCCTTCTTTACTTTGTTACTTTGATATTTATAATTGTAAAAATGCACCAGAAATTCAAAGTGCAGGGGTTGTTTTTCTGTTTTGTCTCTCTCGTACTTCTAAGGACTTAAGATTTATGTGGAAATAATCTTTGCTTGTGTTAGTAAAAATAAATACCTTAAATTTGAGGGATGGATTTAGCTTTTCTGATAAGTCCTATTGCAACCCCAGTCTTCCCTTATCTCTTTGCATCCCTTAAGCAAAGATACCTGCTCTCCAGACCTGAGTCCCCAAAAGTGGTGCTACTTTTACAGATGGGAATTAAATGAATTCTGGGAGTTCTGTCCAATCTTTCAATGAAACCATTAAACCATTAAAAATGTAAATTCCATCATAGGGTATGCTAGAAGAAGCAGAATTACCCATAAATTTCTTTCTAAGCAATCATAGAGGACCTTTCGAATTAAGAAAAAAGTGAATTGATTTTTTTACTTTACATGTACAAGTGGTGATGGATATTTCTAAAGATATTTTTAGGGATGTCATTTTCATTGAACTCTTCTGCAGTTTTCCAGCAGCTGGATGTGGCATCTGTGTCTACCTTAAGTTTGTTTGCATACATGACACTAATATTTCCTGTGATCACATTGTTACAGACACTGTCTAGTAAACTTTCCAATCCTTTGAATCAGAGCTAGATAAATGGGCATAATATTTATAAAGCCATTTTGAATCCTCAGAAAGAGAAATATTTATCCTACCTGTATAATGCCAATAAAAGACAAACAGGTCATTTGTCATTGAAGTGATAAAAATTCAGGTTTTGTGTATCTTTCAGAGAAGAACTGGGAAATGACATGAGTTTAAGTTGTTGATTTCAGTCAGTATAAAATGTCTCTTCTATTATATTTGCACAAAGTTTTAAGAAAATCAAGCATGTCTAAACTACAGTGCTAACTTAGTACAAATAAAAAGATCTGAAGTCTCAGGCATTTTATGGAACTCTGAGGTCTTTAAAAACCGTCACTTATCGAAAATTATATAAGGTTAAATTCTGATTTTTAGGGTTCCCACTAGCAACTCTGGTAATAGTTTTCACCTCTTTAGCACTTTTCTTGACCAAAGAACCAAATTTGAATGTTTTACCTAATCTTTCTGAATCTCCCTATCTGACCATAATACTCAAATATTAACTAGTTAGGTACGTTTGCAGTTGCAGTGAAATGTTGGTCAAGTCTTGACCAATTTTTCCACCTTCAAATAGACTCCAGGAATATTGCCTCTCATTTTAGTGCAGCCCTTTTAGAAAAGATGGCAAATTTCTGTGCATATATAAAAACTGATTTTAGGTGACTATGCAACAGAAATGTTTGGGCCTTTTTGTTTGTTTGTTTTAGGAAAAAAGTAATTAAAATAATTATGCTGGTTTAAGGGGTGGTTCCAAATTTTGACTTTTGCTTCTATTCATCTTTCCTTTGGATTATAAGGCTGTAGCAGATGTGTACAGGACAAAGCAATCTGTACAGAAGGGTGGATTACTTGTAATCCATGGAATACAGTTGGAATCTGGCACTAAGGGCTGACAGCATTTAAAACTATTTTCTTTGGAGAGTAAGGATATAGGGTGTGCAAGCTCAAAGGTACAAAACATCCAAACTCAAATTATTCCAGTAGTAATTGTAGCCTTGGATCTGTTAC